CCCTCCTCTGATTTTCCATAGTTCTTTATTTCTGTCTATGCTTAAGTATGCATTCAGCATAGGCACATCCAATCAGAACAGAGATTTTCCTTATTTGTACATATCGTGCATACTGGAAAATTATCAGTTCTGTCTTTTGGAATATGTCCCACTGTGCCTTATAATCTCTTTAGTTATTATCTCCTCTTCTTCATTCCTCTCCCTCCAGATTTTAGGCATTGGGACACAAGGAGTTAGTACTTTTTGTATTATTTATAGGGGCAATTTGTGAAGTAGACCAAGATATTAGGGTTGTCTTCAATGGAAAACTAGGCATTGTCCAGATTATCTGAATCTATAGGATCTCTAAATCTTTTATTGTCTTTGAATTATTTTACATTGCTGTAAGTTATATAATACTTATAGTAATACAAATGGTTCTTGTCCATAGAAATGCAAATTGTATCTCACTGGGAATCACTCAATTATTGCCTTGTGGATATTGAGTAGTTTTGAAGTTTTATATTTGTTAAGCAAATTTATCTCAGTATTCTTAATGTCCAAAAATATGTGGTTTTTTGAATTCTTTGAACCGATTCTAATGTCTTTCTGGTTCCTTCATTAATTAATGAATTAAGTAAAAGATTTCACACATGTTCATTTTATATCTGTATGAAAGTCATACTATACCCTCTTCTAAAAATTTTCTTTTAATATATGAATATGCCTTGAACTTAATAAATATTAATATTTCTTAAAATCAGATTAAGTATCATTTAATGAAGAATACTGGAGGAATTTGAGACACTTTTATTAGAATTTTTAAAGTTATGGAGTAGAGAAATGTTGTCTAAGTTGAATTTTGGCTTGTCTGAACAAGTGAACAATTTCATGTAGAAGATTGAAAACTTGTTTTTATCACAATGAATTTGAACATTGGCCTTTGGATGCTTTGATCAAGTTGAGTGTACACAAAATAAAACAAAACAAAAACCAAATGCCTGATTTGTATTTGCTCACATAGTCAAAAACTGAATCAAAAGAATAAAAAATTCTAAAATATTACTCAATTATTTTATTATATGTTTTTCGTCTTTTTTTAACCTGAAGGATTTTATCATGAAAAAATTATACAGAAATATCAGTAATCGTTTATAAGTTGTGTGAACTAAACATTTTGTACACGATTTGTCTTAAATATAAGAAATACATTCTGAATTCACCTTATATTCACACCTGTATTTGTCTTCAGACTAGGAAATGCTCCAGAGTGGACCTGAGG